GCAGCGATTCTAACACTTACAAGTCAGTTTTATGGGGTTTTAGACTTAAAGTCCACTTCTAACCTGGTATCAGAGTCATGGTTAGAGCCTATCCTAGCGATATTTGTTGTTTGTTGGGCATAGTGAACTCACTCTGTTTTACTTTCTTGATAATCAATATCCATTATTTATTATTTAATCTCATAATTATTATTTCTATTTTTGTTAACAAATAAAAATTTATATGAAATTATTTTTGACCATAAATATTTTGAATATATTGTATTATATGGTATGATAGTTAAAACTAAATATGTTTTTGTTCTGGGAGCTAGGCGCAAGTTTTGAAGAAAGAAAAATAAGGAAAAAAATATAGGAAAAACAAAAATAAATAAAATTTATTACAATCCTGTTAATTTTAATTATTTGTTTATAGAAAATATTATAAAGTCATTTAATTTTATTTATTTAATAAAGTTTGAAATAAATCTAAAGTATTTTGCTGAGATCTAAGAGTAAAGTTTTAAATAAAACAAACTTCCAATAATTAGATCTATTCTTGAAATGATATTAACTTCTGATAAATGATTTATGTTAAATATGAGTTTCTTAAATAGATAACATGTAGAAAAATTATATTCTGCACATAACATTTGATAGAAATAATATTTTATATGATTTGTATAAAGTCTAAAAATATATAATTTATTTTAAAGACAAAACCAAAAAACAATATTTAACTCAAAATAAAATATCCATCATAAAAACTACGTGAAAATTTTGAGTAGAAAAACAAAAAAAATCTTGTAATAAATCAACTTATACACGTCAAATTGATAGTCTTGGAAGGATTTAATTATTAGTTAATTGATATAAATTCACTTTTCTTAAACAATATAATTTACATATTATATTAAATAATTCAGTTATTTTTAATTTATTAAAAATATAATTAATTATAATTTAATATAGTTTAATTAGTTATGCCCAACCCTAATCTCGTAGCTTAGGCTTCAAATGTTTAAACTTGTTTTAATTTGATGTATACAAAATATTTGTATGTCGGAGATAGTCGCAGTTGAAATTTCAACCGCAGAGATCATCTCAGGGAGACGACTTGCGCCTGTCATGAGGGGGTTGGCGGACTTGGTCTAGAGTGGGACAGTTTGACAAAGTCATTTTTTTTTTTAATTTCACGTGTTAGATTTTAACTAAAATTTTTAAATTAAGTGAAGTTGGAACTATTATTAAAATTTAAACTCTAAACTGCTTGATTAAAAATCTTTGAACATTTAATTATATAGAGTCAATGATCGGAAATATTTAATTTTAAATGCAAAACGTGGGTAAGTATTCCATAGGTTTGGCAGAAGAGAGTTTTGGGTTAATATAATGAGGCAGAAGAAAATATTGATTTGGTGAGAAGTGAGGATATCATCAATGCTTTGAAATTCATGAAGCAGTGGGAGAGTTGAGTAACAAGGAAATGTAAGGGTAGGTTAGATATCACACGTTGATCTTCATAGGTGCTACCAAACTAGTAGGGGTATATCGCGGTATTAGAATTTAATTCTAATTCAACATTATTAAATTAATAATAAGATAGATTTGCTAACAAAAACACTGAACCAGCTTAGACACCGATTGGACACAATTGCTCTTCAACTTACCGAAAATATCAAGAGTAAGTCCATCGGTCATGTCCTTTATTGATTTCAAGTGTGATTTATCAGTTTGTAAACTAGTCTACATATACTTTAATGTTTATTGATTAGGTGTTTGAATAGCTCATTCATAATAAGTTTTGGTACATTGTTCCTATGTTTTTAAGACCAAAAGTCATGAACTCATAATAATAGTTGATATCTTATGTTATAAAGATAATGTTCCGTTTGTTTCCAATGGGAATTTGATTGTAGCCTACATAAATGTCTACAAAGCTCAATACAATGTGACTATGGATACAATGAATCGAATCAGACACAAATAGTGTTTACCGGCAACTTGTCTTATGAAAAAAAATCTAATCCGTAACTCGTCCATTATCCATGGGTATCCACTTAGAAAATACTTGCACATAATAAAAAAAAATAAAAAAAATATTTATATATTTTTTAAATAAAATTACAAAAAACATATATATAATATAATATAAAGTAAATTAAATATAAATTAAAATTTAATTTTAATTAAATTTAACCAAATAAAATATAAATTAATTTTATTTTTAATTAATAATTTAAAAAATAAAAATTAATATTTTCTTTTATTTGTTGCAGACCGGTACTCATGGGGCGGATAGTTTAATACCCGCACCCAACCCGTTCAGAAGCGGGTATTAAAATATTCACTACCCGTTACCCGCGGGTAGTAACTACCCGCCACGGATACCCGTACTCACGGATTTTTTTGCCATCTCTCATTGCGACTGATTGCTCCATCCAACAGTCGATCGATATTGGATAGCGGTAGACGTTCTTTGAGCAAGCCTTGTTGAGGTTTGTATAATTGAAACACAATGCCTACTGGTGAACAATGGTGTGAAGGATGATGTCAAGGTGTAAAGCAACCGATGAAGTAAAAGGGTAAGCGGGTAAACCACTTCAGGATGCTCCTTTCAAGATTGTACAATAGGCCTTGCACATAACAATATCACCAATCAAATACATACTTACTTGGGTAACATATATGATGGCATGTTCATCTGGATCAATGTTACCATCATATCGATCTAGTGTCAAAGTCTTCCATTGCTTAGGGAGTAAGGTATCCGTGATGCCATCAACAAAGGGATGTCAATGATTTCCTCCTTTTGTTGAGGAGTTATCTTTTGCCCGTCGAGTTTTATAGTTGCTTTTCCCTTATACTTCATGGGCAACGTGGATGTGGGATGATACAACCTTTTGCACTGATCCTACATTCTCAAGGATTTCCTTTTTCTTCCCTTTGCCAATTACTGCTTAACCTCGACCCTTCTGAGTTTGGCATTCTTTTGCCTTAAGGCATTATCTCTTCAACACTTCTCATCTTAAACTCTACAAATCTTGTTGCATTTTCATTTGCGCTTCTAACATCGCAGCTATGTCAACTAAGAAGAGTCATAAACCTACTTCCTTTGCTCCAATCATCCTGCTCCTTGTGGAAACCATATAACTCTTTTCTTCACAAAGTATATATATGCCAGCTCTACAATGGGCACCAATTGTTCTTACAATGTCAATTATACTCTACAAATACTCAAACTCTGAACACTCCAAGCTTTGACCTTAAGGTACTCGTCCTCCTCAAGCTGAATAAGGTTTGTTCCTGTAGAAGACACTTCGACACAAGTCAACTAAGTAAGTAAGAAGGTAATAAATGCAGTAATTAATTAACATAATTAATGTACCTCATGTACTTTACTATTTATACCATGTTTATGGATTTTTTTACCTGAATGGAACTGGCCCAAATGACTAATTACCTTAATTAGTTTTTGGTTAATTCATCTACTTAATCACGATCTTAAGTTAATCAACTCAGTCAACGATTTTGATTGGCCAACATGTATTTAGCCAAGCCATTATGACGCGAGATCATATACGAGGACCGAGACATCTAAGCATATGTGGTCAAGATGTATTGAGATATGCTATCCACTTTGATGAGTTGTTGACATGCAGAAGACACTCCGACGCTTCAGATATGTTTCATAAAGAGGTCTATATTTTATTAGGATCGAAAAATATCTTTGTACCTGGATACCAATGGTATATTTATATGACTTATGGCAACCAAGTTCATCGATTAACCATTAGTTCAGGATATTTTGGGGAAATATAACCTGCCAATCACTCATAAATACCGTATATTCGTCCTTAATATGACCATTAAACGTATTAATTGGCTATTAATGATATTTACCTTTCAGATTAGTTTGTCTCACAGTCGGTCGGTTGCCAGATATAATACAGACTCAACACATTTAGGCACAAATGTCCTAGATGTCTTCATATACATATCTTACCCTGATCATGACAAAAAAAAAAGTATAAAAACATATAGTGTATTTTACGACTTCAAAGAAAATAAATGTTAGATTACATTATTGTTGTAAATGTTGTTTGAATGCAAAAAAATAAAAATACATTATTGTTACAAAATACATATGAAACTAACCCATTAAATGTTAAAATATTGCATTTCAATATACTCTAGTCAAACAAAATTTAAATAAATTACTTGTGCATTTCAAAAGGAGTAAGTTCATCTCTAGATAAAATCTAAGGTTGATTAGTTGACTCGTGGATTTTACTGTTACAGTGTTAAAATAACAATATAAGATTCTTTGAAAAAAGAATGTAGGTTAATTTACAAGAAAGGTTGTTTCATGGATATCCTAAATACTTTCGTTTGTCGTGTTTTTATCCCTCTCTAATCTTGAGAGTTGTATACGATTTTCTTTATGATTGTGATACAACAATGAAGTAGGCTGGTTAACCACAAATTATTTTGACGTATAGTTTATAGGACAGTTTAAAAGATCTAATCGATGTCCCTGTCACGCTTCATGCATTTTGACAATTTCAAGAACACTTGATCTTTGTATGGAATGAGACAAGCTTTGAATGTAGTTGAACAGACAAGAGCAAAGGGTAGTGCATGTAGTGGTGACTTTAAATTTCTGGTTATAATAAGGGTTTCAGAACTCTTTTCCTAACAAGTGAAGATACACATCAATCAATGGGTTGGACGTTGGATAAATTTATATGGGCACTTCTTGTTGAGTGCATATTCCTTTCTGGTTTATCTCATTCTGGTAAAGGTAAATGCTTTGCTGTGAAGTACGACTTTTCCTTTTCAATTTTTTTTTTGGGGTCCCATATTGTTGTTACAAAGGGGTTTTACTATTAGTTTGTTTTCATCAAAGAATTGAAAATAGAAAAAATGAGAACAAGAAGGTTTCTTTTGTTTAGTTGGTTTGGTTGATGGCTGTAGTGTCTCTTTGTAACTCTTTTCACCTCATTCATTTCTTTTTTATCTTCTTGTGTCCATGCAGCCTCAAAGTACGCATTTGTAAGAGAAGCAACATCTGCTCCACCATTCTTGTCTTATGACTACATTGTCATTGGTGGAGGAACAAGTGGGTGTCCCCTTGCAGCAACTCTCTCACAGGGTGCAAGAGTTTTAGTCCTTGAAAGAGGAGGTTCTCCTTACACAAACCCAGAGCGAATCCACCTAAAGAACTTTGTCAATTCCCTCGCTGACATAAGCCCTTCATCTTTTTCCCAACCGTTCATATCCACAGATGGGGTCCTCAATGCCAGGGCTCGTGTTCTGGGTGGTGGCTCGGTGTTGAATGCAGGCTTCTATTCAAGGGCTAGCTCTGACTACATAAGGATTTCTGGTTGGAATGAGTCTTTGGCTGAGGAATCGTATAAATGGGTTGAAAAGAAAGTGGTTTTTGAGCCCCCTATGCTGCAGTGGCAGTCAGCAGTGAGAGATGGGTTGCTGGAAGTAGGCGTGTTGCCTTATAATGAATTTACTTATGATCACTTAAATGGGACGAAGATTGGAGGGACAATTTTTGATAAGAAGGGTAACAGGCACACTGCAGCTGATTTGTTAGAGTATGCTGATCCCAAGAACATTTCTGTTTATCTCCATGCCACAGTGCAGAAGATACTATTTAGATATAACACAGGCAAGGAGAAGAAAATAAGATAAAATAATTTT